TTAAACAAAAGTAATTGTTCTAACTGGTGTTTAGCTTAGGCTGTATCTCTGTCAACTATGCAGTTGATCCAATAATAGATATTATCAAATAAACTGTACTTCTACCAGTAGCTTGGGTTGTAATATAGACCAAGTAAATAGTCATTTTTTGCCACAGTTAACATTTTTCATAGTGTAGACATGGCCAAAGTAATGCAAGCTTAAAAGGAAGAACGTAGCTTTTATGAATGTTCTGCGCATGAGAAACCTACGTTTAGAAATGCTTGGTAAAGGATAGGCAGTTGGCCCTGTCTGCTGCTTTTTTGAGAGATTACTACTTTCTTGTTAAAACATCATCCGATTGATTACGTTGTTTATGTAGAATGGGCTTTAAAACAAGGATTAGATGAACAGTATTCTAGCTGAGACGATCATCCAAATACACAGATCTGGAGTAGTTCAACCGTTTTATTATTTTATTTCCATGAAAGAGAAAACACAACAGGGACATCCTTTGTGTGCTTTGTTTTCATAGAATCATAGAAGTAGGGTCGGAAGGGACCTTATAGTTCTTCAAGTCTGACCCCCTGCCAGGGCAGGAGGGAAAGAAAAAAAAAACCTGGGCTCAAATGATCCCAGCTAGGTAGGCATCAAGCCTCTTCTTAAAGACCCCCAGGGTAGGAGCCAGCACCATTTCCCTTGGAAGTTGGTTCCAGATCCTGGTTTTAATTTCTCTTGTAAACTAATTCCACAGACCAAGGGTCTAATTCAGTTTTAAAGTCCTAGGTGGTAGTTTTAAGCAAGCAGATGTTAAAGTAGCCCTGTCTCTCTGAAATATGGTAATATTTTGTATGCTACCATTTCCATGGAAACAATTATTGGCTCAGCAAAAATTATTTGGGATTTCTAAACTACATACATTTTTTTTTAAATGGGTAGTTTAAAATCACTTGTTTTTTACTAATCAAATTTTAGTGTGACTGGTGGCACTGGACATTAGTGGCATCGTAAAGATAGTGTAGTTGCTACAAGGGAAGTGGTCAGCTCAAATGCTTTGCAGTAGTAAGTCAGTAATTTTTTTTTTTTTAATTCACCTCTGAAAATGTGAACTAGTGTTTTATAGAACATTAATGGAAGAAAATCCAGGTAGAAGCATTTGTTCCAGATATTGTCTCCTGTCATTAATTGGGAGTGCATGCTGAAATCTGTCTCCATCTCCTCAAGCCTCTCAGAGTCATAAATGCTAGGGTCAGAAGGGACCTCAACAGATCACTGAGTCCAACCCCCTGCCTGCGCAGGACAGCGCTGGGGTCAGATGACCCCAGCCAAACTCCTCCTCACTCCACCACGTCAGAAGGAAAAAACCAACAAACACATACTCACAGGTGAAATATTTTAAACCTATTGGAATTTCATAGATTTCATAGACATTTGGGCTGGAAGGGA